GCAGAGCCTATTCCGGAAAAGCCCAAGACGCGTTTCGCCCTATTGGGGCTCCTCAGTGGCGCGCATTCCCTTGGACCTCTAAGGAGGATAGTACCCATGACCGCTAGAGGCAGATGCCAACTAGGCAGCAGCTTTAAGCCACTGAGCCATGGAGGCCGTTGGCTGGGCTACATAATTTGCAAACTAGGTGGGATATAACACCACCTCTCTACCACTGTCACTGACAGTGGTAGATTTACAACTAAAAGTCCTGCTACTATTGATTACTATAAAATCAAAGGCCTCTCCTAGCTTCAAATGCTATAGATATAGCGTCTAGTGGGAGAACGTCATCACCTTGCAGGCTAACTACTGTCAGTGACAGTGGTAGATAGGTGGTGTTATATCCCACCTAGTTTGCAAATTATGTAGCCCAGCCAACGTCCTCCATGGCTCAGTGGCTTAAAGCTGCTGCCTAGTTGGCATCTGCCTCTAGCGGTCATGGGTACGATCCTCCTTAGAGGTCCGAGGGAATGCGCGCCACTGACGAGCCCCAATAGGGCGAAACGCGTCTTGCGCTTTTCCGGACTAGGCTCTGCTATGTAGCTTGTGAACTGTTGGGATGAAAGCCTTACCAGATTTACAACTAAAAATCCTGCTACTAATGAGATTGGGATCTGCTTGACGGCCGTCACACGCAGCCTTGGAGGTACTGTAACGATTCATAGCACTCTCGTCAGTACTACGCAACTATCGGTCCAATCAGGATCCGACCCCATGACCGCTAACGGCATGCGCCACTAGACAGCAGCTTATGCCACTAAGCGGCAGACCGCATGACTTACAGGCTAAGTGCAACATAGCCCGCCTAGTCCTCCGCTGTCATGCAAATTACTAACGTTGCGGAGGATTGTTGTCATTACACACTACACAATCTTACTGGCGGCTAAGTTACACCGGATTTGAACAGAAACTCGATGACAAAACCCACAAAACACATGACCGCGTCAGTGTAACTAAAACGTTCATAATAATCTGCTTCGCGCCAGTAAGTTAATCAGGCAGAAGTGCTTCGATAGGAAAGGGTGACAAGGGCAAATAATCATAAGAAATGATGATGACAGGACAACACAACGAAGCTTCAAGGCAGATGTGACCGTTATGTGGTAGGAGAATTCCAGCAATTAGCCATCACAACACCGACAATGCCGTTACGTTCCAATGGTGGTGGATAACCGGAAACGCGAATAGTTGTTCATGTAGGTGTCAGTTCATCGCCGCTGTGTGTTCCACACATGATGATGTTTTGGCGGCGTCCGTATCCGGATTTGCCTGTCACTGTGACGTCCATGGGGAAAGTCACAGGACGCCTGCGCCTACAAAGGGGACCATGGGTGGCTTGCGCTGCACCACCCATAGTTCCACCCACACACCTCATATTAGGTGTAAACCCGAAGGAATAAGACCGGGAGGCATGCGGATGGGAGCCACGTTTCATCAACGGAGCCGGCCCACACTCCTTCAACAAACAGAACGGAAGCATTCCGGCCTAATTGGGAAATCATACACACCAGACGTACACGAGGAGGTGGCTGGACCGTAGCCCGTTCCACACAGGTTGCATGGAACCACTTTTGAGCCTAGCACCGTCACGAGGACGGTGCACTCCGTCCCCTGCAGCGACGACCAACTGTCTCCTGGAGCCAGTATGGACGAGGTAGTAGGTAATAGACAGGTAAGCACCTTGTCAACATTCACATCAGGCGCATCCACACCGGGGAGCTCAAGCAACATCTACTTCTGAAATGCAAGATTACTCATCACGCAGACAAACGTACCACATACGCCGCCTTATTGGCCTGGATTAGTAAATTGAATGGAAACATATAGTGCTTCTATTCCGCATACAATAGTGCCTTCTCCGGCACCTGAGAAACCGCCCTTTTGAGCAGTCCACGGAATTCGCATCGATCAAATTTGTCTTGGATTCGCAACACCTGAAATCAACATGAGTTTGTCATAAACTCACCTTCTTCATGTTCTGGTAATGTTATTTTCGGTTTGCTCGAATATCGCTTTACTGCACTAAGTTAACCGTAGAAAAGCGGTATGAAGGTCCTCGTGGAATTCATTCGGTATACACATAGTTACATAGATTGGCGTCATCTGTGTCCAATGACAGTTCGAATACAACATATGTACATGCGTTTATCCAAACTTAAGTGTGAGCTGTCACAAACTGGATAGAGACACATTAGACATCATCATCATCAATGGTACGACAAACGTGTATGGATTTCGTTTGGAGATCAGGCTAACAATCACCTTCGCAGTCATGAGAATAACTACCCAATACGAACTGTTGATGTTTTCTTCAACATTTAGACGTGACAGCCTTAAATCTTGGGCATCCATATTTGTAGGAACCCGATGTGGCAATAGTAAAGCAACTGCTAGGTAGAATGATGACTAGACTACTGGTACAGTGAAATAGTGTGCACTTAGATGTTGCCCTCTACATGTACACTCCGGTTTGAGTAGCTGATGGGGGAGATCACACAGCATGCAAATGCGATACAGTGTCCACTTCTGGCTCTCTGTGTCTCCGACCGTTTCGGTCATGTGCTGCCCGAGGTATGTGCACCTACTCAAAGAACGATTGATGCGCTACCTTTGGTATTGACAAGTGACATCAACTAAGTCCCGCTGCCCACTGTCAAACCTGCGACTTTCCAAACAGAGTTCGCATTTATTGTGCAAATGTCCAAGTACTCAACCGTTTGTACCTACCGACCTGTACACATATGCGTATGCGTACACGCAAGCACCTGATTTCCGAAAGGACGAGCTAATATTCGATCGCCAATCAATCCGGTGGTTTTTTTATATGTGATAGAAGTCATGCACGCTGGTGAGAGCCACGAAGCGGAGATCAGAAGGCCAAAGTACGTGGCGTTCCCAGGGGTAAAACAAAATACTAGTATCGTGAAATGAATAACAAGTGTCAGACACGTCGCACGGGTCTCTGTTTGAAGCAGTAAAGATTTGCCGAAGATAAACCCATGCTCCCTAATGCGCGATTAATTTTCCGACTCAGAAACCCTGCCCAAACTGCTGAGCGCGCCCTACCTTTATGGTTATCAGGCCTACAAGCACTTGAGAATCCGTCTCTGTGCATTATGCGTTTGGTGTATATTGCTTTAACTATCCAGTCGCTTATATTTTTGTAGGGTCATTCGACTGGAGATCATACCTGTTACATCTGGTACCGCAATGATTATTTACACTTGCCTCGAACCTTCCGAAAATAAATCTATTAACATACTTGTGAAAAAGTAATGTGAGTGTAGAGCGCGCCTGTAAACCATTCACCCGTGCGCCTCGAACTGTTCCTCTTTCGTCACGTAAACAAAAATACCATGATTTACCTACATGTCGTTCCGATACCAACATTGCAAGCCAATTTTGCCGAATTGCATGTTGTTACGAAATTAGGTTGGAAGTGTACACTGTTGAGGTGCGTATCGAGTGAGTTTGTGATCTTCTTTGCAATTAGTACAAAATTCTGACTTCCGGCCTTGTTTTGAAGTGATACCGTGGGAGACGAATTGCCAAAGTATTTTTAATAGATTCTGTCGCATACGTGGAGACTATCCATCAGGCAGTCTAGGTAGGCATGTTGTAGAGATATGAGGATAATAGCAGTAGAACACCGCGGAGAAGGCCCACTCACACCCAGATCGCTAGCATTCTTCGCTGCAAATGTCACGTAAGTTGCATCAGTCACCTATAAATATTACAAAACAACAATCCGGAAGACGGACAAATAGGACGGCAGTAGAACTGAAGGGTCCGCGTTAAAAAAGGAGGGTGTACAGGAGTGTACATGAAGGAAACAAAATTAGAACACGAACGCGGTGTGCAAAGTGTTGGAATGTCGACAAAAAACGCGTCTACGTTTGGCACAATATCGTGTATGCACAAACACGCTATGGTGGAAAATAAAGCCTGAAGATTGGCAGTTAAAAAGTGGTGGTTTGACAGCAACCAGCGCAAAACTCACGTAACATTTGCTGTCTGCGAACAAATGGGTTGCGGGGCAGCAACGGAAACGCAAAAGCAAACGTCACTACCGAAAGTTTTAGGTGGGTGGTGACGAAGATAAGGAGAAAATCCATATACCAGCATTATCATGTGAATGAAGACAGAAAAAAGGCATAACCAGTATGTCGGTACGTAGTACTGACCTTTCATTGCCGCACAACCGTTAGTTGCCGCAGGTAGGCTAAGGATACTGCGAGGGTCGCCCAGTTCCCACGCAGGCTCGGACCCGCGCCCTCTGATTACAAGGCAGGCTTGTGAGCCTTAAGTCTACGGGTCGGCACCTTGTGGTTAGAATACCGGGTCATTCGAGCAAACAGCGGCCTTCATAATAAATGATAACACACTGCTATACCTCAATCGGTAGTTTTCTAGTTGCTGTAAACGCAAACATAAGAAGGAACCGAAACAGAAGTGCACAACTTACAACTGCGAATTTTGAAGAATGAACTCAATCAAAGGCAGCGGGGAGGAGAGCTCGTTGATGGATCGGCATTGGACCGCCACATGAAAAGCGGTCATTCCGGAGACTTGGCCAAAAGTGCCATCGTCATCATCTTTAAGATGAATTGGAGTCATCAAATTAAATCTTTCGGCAAAAACCTAGTAATGCAGAGGGGCAGTTCCAGATAGATATGAGAATCAGTCAAGGTAAGGAGCCTGGGGTGCCAGGTGAAAGCACAGAAATTGCCAAACCCTAGGAGCTGGTGTTTACGCAAAGATACAACGATAGCACAGAACAGGCAGAGCGGACAACCACAAGGGTGTTGCCGCAGTGGGTACTGTTCGTTCCGAGAATGATAGGTAATCCCTTCAGAGAGCGACTTGTGTGGAGAAGCGCGATGAAATCGTAAAATAAGGCTGTCTAAAGGTGAGGCATAAATCTAACTGTAGATCAAGTATTAGCAGACTTGGATACTTCATGAGTCTGATTTCAAAGAGGAGCGATAAATCCGCCTTTGAAATAGCAAATACCGCATAGAATAGGCTTGTGAATAGTCTAGGTTTGAAGTATAGTAAAACGTCAAGAATGGGGAAGAATCATCGTCATTATGACGCAAGAAAACCACATTTTGGAGGTCGAGAAAACGGTAGTAGGGTAACAAAACGAAAATTACCTGTAGCAATGCGGCCAGTTCACATTGTTTTACTGCACGCAGAAGGTCCCGGCGCAAAAAGCGTTCGGACAAAGAATCCTCAATGCCCGAATATTGTTGTTCTTCGCCATTTGGAGGCGATGTAGAGGAATCAGTGCGAAATACGCGTGTTGTAGAAGTGACGAATTTCCGATTAACGTATTTAGCCTTAATGAAGCTCCGTCTCTGTAACATGTTTGATCCATCGCTAAAACAATACGGTCATGGCACAAATGAAGGATATCCCAATGAAGCCAGACGACACGCTTGTTAAATGATTGTGAGAAAATTGGAAAATACAAGTACCACCAATAAGCGTGTTAGTGAGCAGGCTACAGATAAGGTGTATTCCAGTGCTGTCGCGAAAACGCGAAAGACTGATTAGCGATGGTGGAGCGAGCACAGGTTGACACAATTTCTCAAATGAATCCGCCACAGCAGAACGCGGGTTCGATGTTTAAATTTGAGATACGTTTTAAAATAGAACACCCAAGTCAAACATACAGTTAATGGGGTAGAGTTAGACGCTCAAACAACTGGAGTTCGTGAAATAAATCGCGATCCGCATAGAAATGAACCTTATGCAATTCGATCCATTGGACCGTAAATGATAAAGCAGTTGATTAGTGCGTGTTACCCATCTGAAGGTACTGCATCCTGCAATTGTTTTCAAATCTATTTGCCCTCACCAACACGATATGATAGGACTGGACTGAAACCCGGGACCTTCAGCATGTCAGCCAGAACCTGCAGTTGGGTCCCAGTGATCGAATTCGAAAAGAATCACTTCAATCCGAAGCTCAGCCTACATTGAGATTGTGTGTCGCAACCCTTTCACACAATCTGTGTTCACACTGACCCGTACAAATATGTTTTCAAAAGAAGTGAAAGTTAATCGCACCAAGTTCCAAATCAGCTAGTGCTCCACTTGGCGGGAGAAGCACTAGACGCAGTTTCAGTCCGTTGTGCATCATCAGGGGTGCCCATCCATCGGAGCCATCAGGATTCGAACCCATGACTAGCAGCGGCTTGCACCGCCAGTCAGCAGCTTATGTCACCGCGTCAAGGGGGACAGTGTCGGAACGTTATGATTTACTAACTAACTGTGTTATAACACGTCATATGCTATACTGTCCTGCAAGTTACGAACGCTGCAGAAGATAAGGTTGGTCCAGAGTGATACGACGTCCACTGACACTAACTAGATATGTAAGACATAGCATTTAAAAACCGTTAGAACTGATATTTTGATGCGCTTATGGGTAGGAAAACTTTTAAGTAATTAATCGAGAGTTTGTCGCACCAACTTCCAAGGCAAATAGTCTTCCACGCGCAGAGACAGTAGGATAAAAGAAACCGCAAGAGCGCAAACTCATGTTCCAAAAACGAACATGTGTTTAGATGAGGTGTTGCTACCGAAGTTACCGCGGAAAAACTCGGACTGTACCAAGGAGTAGAGAACAGAAAATGTGATTGTATGGTGCCGGCAATCTACGCAAGGCAGTGTAACTACGGAGATCATGATGACAAGAAATGGTTTCTTGCAGTAACTTTCGTCGACACGATTTAAAGTAGTCTTTAGCCTCCCACCATCACACTCACGTGTGCACCGTTGTGCTAACGCCTAGACCATCTCCTTACGAGAGTAAATAGCGATTAATGGTAAAGGTGCGTTTGGGCGTTCTCCACAAAGATCAATGAGTGGAAATCAGGGCTTAGTTCGTGACTAGTTGAACCGGCAATTGGATTATCGACCAGGTGGAATGAAAGCGCAGCCCAGATTAAATCCCGTTGGTAACATCGGGGTGGATAAAGAAGGGAATAATAAAGCGGCATCAAAGATCGCTCGACCGCATGAGGTCTAGATGTCCTTAAGAATTCACGCGGCTAACGCAGTTGATGGCTCAGCGATAGTTAAAAGCGGGGGGGGGGTACAGTCAAAGAATTCTTCAAGGATTATCCGGGACGAAATAAACAAAGCAAATCATGATGTTTAGGCCGAACACTAGTTACTGATAAAATATACTGGGTACCGCTAACTCTGCGTGTGAGCCAAATTTGACAAAACTGAGGGGACAAATAGCTCAATTAAAAACTGTGACTTGCAGAGAACCACGCAAGCAAAAAGCGCAAGAAGGTGAAGGTTGCTGTGTGGGTAATATAATAATAATAATACTACTCGCCAGTCTTACGCCGTAACGACTATTCGCTGCCGCGTGACCACCAGCCGTCTCGTGTGAGCTGAGATTACTGCGAGGAGGTCCGTCCCTTTGTGGATTTGAACCGGTGACCTTGCGACTGCAAGCCAGGTGTGCAGGTATGTGAGTGGTATCCACTATCTGATGAGGGCCCATAACACGGGCTAGACGTGTACAATATTTCACCGCGAGTGTATCCATAAGAAAAAGTCATAACCCGAAGTGATAACTGTAACCCATAGCCCATAAAGTAAGCAGGAAGAAAAATTTACTTTTGTATGCAGAGCAGATCAGTGCAACAGTTTATGAAAAGAAACAATCAAAGAACTAAAGAGGAAGAAATGCAGAGGACACTTATGGAAGCGCTGCAGTTGTAAAAACCGCTGGGATCGCTGGTCTGAATTATTTTAATACGAAGCAGAAGTTACAGCACAGGCTACGGTAGAAATAAAAACACTAATAATAAAAAACAGGGTTAACAGTTGGTTGAACAAGCAGGACCGGTATTTCGGTCAAGCACAAAACATCTGCAGTGTGCAAAGAGCGAGACTTACGTGACATTGTTGGCGGCTTTCGGTTTAATACTGCTAGAAAGCGAGGATTCGAAAACCTCATTGAACAAACGATTGCCCACAAAAAGAGGGATCTATGGAAGCAAAAAACGCAAATACAGATGGCTTTGAAGGATTCACAGGAACCCACCGAAGTAACAAAGACATTAAAAATACAAACAATGGGATGTCTATAGACAAAACAACACGCACAATGGTACAACGAAGAAAAAGAAAAGCAAAAAATAGCGTGTTTGTGTCCAACGAACAGACGGAAGAATGGAAGAAAGTGCAAGGCGTGTGCAGTGATCTTGAGACAGGATTCAAACATGGACTCTAGGCAAAAATACAAAACCCGCGGGAACAAAATAACTTTCCAATATGGTACGCTTCTTGAGAATTATAACGCAAAGTAAACGCTTTTGGAGAAGATGCTGCTCAAATGTTACAAGATAGATGATACTCATAGGGTGTGAATGCATTACTAGTGAATCTGCACATTCGGACAGAGACAGATGTATCCGAACGTACCCAATTTGTAATCAAAGCTTGTCCACCGAGCCATAACTGTCGGCAAGGTAGAACAAGGGTCTAACGGCGCAATAGTCAATAGTATCAAATAAACAGGCAAGTACACAAGATTAAGAATTATATCGTCACCATTATCACCATCATGAATACACCACAACTAATGTGTCACATACATCACAAATTACGAAAGCAAGATAAGAAATATAATGTTAAAATCACATTATGCATTGGAATGAGATTGCTGTTGGAGGGGAAACTAATGTAGAGGGAAGGAACAACGAGACTCACAACATCAACGCCATTGAGTTTGGCTACTCGCCATGTCAGCTAGAGTATCCAACCAAACGTGTTCATCGTCCATAGGAACACAGCCAGGTAGTTGGAAAACACCAACCGACCCCAAGTTCGAAGAGAGAGATTTCATTCCCCTAGACCAAGTCATCGCTTGGCCTCCCCTCCTCCTCTTCCAACCGCACCCCCGGCGCGTAAACAACGCCCGTCGCCAGGGTCGCTGTGCTGGCATGCGCAACAGGCGGCCCAGCCAATGTAGCCTGGTGCGTGATATGATGGTTCTGAGTGGTTCACTCGCTCTTCCTGCACCAAATACGCGACTCTGAACAGGATCATTGTTCACGCGGTGCTTCCACCAGACGTGAGCTTAGCTGGGAAAGTAGTTGTGGTCGAAGGTAGAAAGCATGCCATAAAGTAGCATCCTCCTCCGGCTACTGCATTGGTTTGGAAAGGTATTCATGCGGGCACCTAGATGTTTCCAGTAATTGTAAACTTATCGCAGGCGTTTCTGGTGATCTGCACCCGTTACCAAAAAAATTACTCAAATTCGCACATTTGAGCACGCGCGCTTAACACAGTCAAGTATAGTATTATCTAGAGAGGTGCCCGGGAACCGGCGAGGAATTCTCATTGGCAGAGTGAGAAATAGATCTCAAGAGATCAGACACCATTCGGATACTCTGATCCTCTCACGAGAGTAAGAGTAGGATACCTAAGTTCAGAGGGTTTCAAACACAAAAATGTCTTGGAAAAGTATGTGTTGTTGCAGTGTTTCGCTCTTGATACGAGAACTTCTTTAATCAGAATGTGTCGAATGAAAGCCGTTAGTGACAAGAATTGGAAAAATGAAGAGGAATCCTGCAGTGAGAAAATAAAGAGCTTACACACTACGGGCGACAAAATGACGTCTACATAAAAAGTAGCTTGCTATGGTCAAGGTTTGAACAAGCCCTAGACGCGATAGACGAAGTAGAGAGCCACATAATTTGGTGGACATGAGCGCAACTGGCAGCCGATTACAAGCTTGAGATGATCGATCTGAAGTGAGGCCATTTTGTGAGGGAGCCCGAAGGGACCAATGAACACCATGACATGTAAACACAAGAAGACAGACAGTAAAACGAGAAGGCGGTTGAGTGCGCGATGAAAAGTGAGCGCGGTCAATGGTTGTTTACGCAACTAACACATTAACATAAAATAAGAATAAAATCGTGCAAAGGCGACGACGATTAATGTCAGCATTCGTGGCAAAATGTTTCGCGGATCGGAGGTTAGGCACCAAAATAAAGCGCTAAAGGGGAATAGAGTATCACACAATTTTTAGTCGAAAACGGACACCGGACAGTGTCAAAAATGATGTTACATGGCGAAAGTCACAGTTCAAGAACTATGATCTCCAGAGGTAGAAGAGTTCAGGGGGTTTAAATGCCCTTATGACACTAGGGTAGCGAGAAGTAACAATGGTAAGGAGAACAAGCCAGGACGCAAAAAGAAAAAACATTTTATTTAAAAGCGAGAAAAGGGTCCGAAAAGTAATATTTTTCAGTAAACTGATGTAAGTTCGCGGATACCGTAGCGTCATTGACAATGCTAATGTCCCGTGTCCGATTAGGTCTCCAACTAC